GCATGCATGGATGGATGGATGGATGGGTGTATGTGTGTATGTGTGTATGTTTGTATGTATGCATGCATGCATGCATGCATGCCTGCATGTCTCGAGATGGATATCGTCGCCCTATCTGCTGCCGCCCTGCGTCTTGTTACTCCCCGGCCCCCCCCCGCGTGCCTCGGCCCGCCCGGAGCCAGGCACGCCGCCCCTGGCGCCGCTTCCGCCTCGACGAGCGGCGCGCCCGAGGAGGTGGGGGCCTCGGGGGCCACGCTGCGGGGGGGGGGGGGAATGCATCACCCCCCTCCTCCGGGGGGTTCGACCTCGACCTCCTTCTTGAGCCTCCTCCTCCTCCTCCTCTCGCTCCTGCTCCTCCGCCGCCGCCTCCTCCGCCGCCTCCTCGTCCTCCTCGTCGTCCTCCTCCTCCTTCTCCTATTTCCTCAGCCCCCCCCCCCCCTCGTTCCGATCGAACATCGCACGATGAGGTCTTTTTTGGAGTTCCAGGTCCGCTTTGACACGCGTCCGCAGATCGAAATACATCAGCGCAGTGGGAGTGCGAAGGGATGCGCGAGAGGAGGGGTAGGATATCAGATATTGCGTGAGCGCACCTGCCATGTCCTCCTCCTTCTCCGCCGCCTACTCGCCTCGCCTCGAGGCATCGCAGACATGGATATACGGCGCGTGGATTCGCGACGGGGCCCGTTTCCATGATTGCGGCGCCTTGCGTCGCGGAGTCGGACGGCATTGGCGCCCGTGTGCCGCCCCGATGCGCGGATCCGGCTCCCACGCGCCGGATTCACGGATCCCGACGTCGTCCATGTTAGCGTGTGCCCGAGTGTTCCATGCTCCGAGCGAGGTGTGCCCAGCCGCCCGCGGCTCCCTCCCCGTCCTGCGCGCCACTCCCGCTCCTGCTGTGCCGCATCTGGCCCCGCAGCGCCTCTCGGTTGCCTCGACCGTGGCTTTATGCCAAGTCGCTGCGCATACCAGGAATAAGAGCCTAGTCGCCCTCCTCCTCCTCCTCCTCTTCCTCCTCCTCCGCCTCCTCCTCCTCCTGTTCTCCTTCTCCTCTTTCTACTCCTCCGCCCCCTCCTCCTCCTCACCCTCTGATTCGCCCTTCCCCTTTCCACGTCCTCCACGTCCTCCTCACCCCGTCATCCTCTTGCCTCCCACCACGTCCTCCAAGTCGCCGACGTCGCCCCCGATCGCCCATTCATCGCCGACAGGGGCCTTGCGGCCTACAGTCAACGCCTTTTTCAAGGGTACCCTTGGGTCCTTGCCTGCCTCAGCCTCTGCGGCCCGTCCCTAGCAATTTTCGCAGGCCAGTTTCTCAAGTTCCCTGGGGGTTTGGCCGCCTGCCGCCCAGAATACTTCAACTTCGGCCTCCAAGGGTCTTGCGTCCTTACCACGCGTCCTTACTATACGTTTTCACTATACCCCCCCGCTCGGGAATCTGGTTTTTTTTGTTCGTCGCTGCCGGGGGCTCATACCGCAGGTCTAACGGCGATGTGTCGCCGATGTCCCGGTCGACGTCTCCCCCGTGGAGCCAGTGCCCCCCGGGGCCTCCAGCAGGGAGGTTCGGGAGCGTCCAGTAGGGGTGGTGAGGGCCATAGCGCTGTGTGGAGGAGGCGCCCAGGAGGGCCCCCTTGGAGGATGTTGTGGTTGGTTTGTCAACTTTCTCGCCTCGGGATACTCTCCAGCAGCTGCGCCGCGTCGAGGGCTCTCCGGCGGTGTCCGAATCGTCCCGACCTGCCGCCCGAGGCCCGAGTTACGACCCGGAAGCCTCAAAGCTTCATCCAGCCCCTGGCGCGGGCAAGGAGAGTTTAGACGTAATTCGTTGTGTTTCGCGTGGGTCGTGGCTTCCTTCCGCAGTCTGGAAGAGATTCGATCGTGATGGAGTCAGCGACGTCGACGTCTCCGTTTCGGCGTTCCTTCTGCCCGTTGCTGGAGGTGTCTCGTCGCCACCGGCTTTCCACGGCCCGAGGAACCTGCCAGGGTGGACCCCTGGGAGCGGGTTCTGAGCGGGAGGAGGAGGAGCAGGAGCAGGAGCAGGAGGAGGAGGAGGAGGAGGAGGAGGAGGAGGAGGAGGAGGAGAGGAGGAGGAGGAGGAGGAGGAGGAGGAGGAGGAGGAGGAGGAGGAGGAGGAGGAGGAGGAGGAGGAGGAGGAGGAGGAGGAGGAGGAGGAGGAGGAGGAGGAGGAGGAGGAGGGAGGAGGAGGAGGAGGAGGAGGAGGAGGAGGAGGAGGAGGAGGAGGAGGGAGGAGGAGGAGGAGGAGGAGGAGGAGGAGAGGAGGAGGAGGAGGAGGAGGAGGAGGAGGAGGAGGAGGAGGAGGAGGAGGAGGAGGAGGAGGAGGAGGAGGAGGAGGAGGAGGAGGAGGAGGAGGAGGAGGAGGAGGAGGAGGAGGAGGAGGAGGAGGAGGAGGAGGAGGAGAGAGGAGTGAGGAGTGAGGAGTGAAGAGTGAGGAGGAGGAGGAGTGAGGAGTGAGGAGGAGGAGGAGGATGAGGAGGAGGAGGAAGAGAAGGAGGAGGAGGAAGGGAGGGGGAGACGACCACTCTCCCCCCAGGTTCGCGGGGCCCCGCCCGGCCTGCGGGTTGCCGAGCGACCCTCGGGGGCCCACAGGCTCGTCCTGGGGAAGCCTTTGCACTGTGACCCATTGGGTTTGTTCCCGCGTATACGCGGCGCTCCTCCCTTCTGCGAGCGCCTGCAACCTATAGGCACGATGGGTCGTCGCAGCCCTTGGAGGAGTGCCTATAGGCACGGGGAGGCCTTTTGGGGTCCAGGACCCGTCTGCTCCCTCACGGCAGGTTATTTTTATCTTGTGTTGCCGTCTGGGGATGGCGCCCGCCGTCTCCCCCCTGCCTCCCCCCCTACCTCCTCCGGCCAACCACCCCCCATGGCGCCCCCCCTTCACCACCTCCCCGCCCCTTTTCGAGCCCGTAACACTTCATCACAGCCTGGCTCTCCTCCTCCTCCTCCTCCTCTTCCTCCTCCTCCTCCTCCTCCTCCTCCTCCTCCTCCTCCTCCTCCCTCCTCCCCCCCTCGCCATCCTCATTACTCCATTGGACATGTCTGGAGTGCAAGGGCATCAGGATCCCTGCATTGAGCTCAATGGTGCCGCTTAGGGAGGTCTTGCTGCCGAGGAACTTGCCGTGTGCTTCAAACACATCCCACGTTCAGGCTCCGCGAGCTAGGGCAAGATTGTGTAATGGTGGGCGTTCCAGATGTATGGCTCAGGGACCTCCTCGTGGCCTCCGCCCTGAGGTGCAGCTATGTGTTCAAGCTTGTCAGAGCAACGATTGGTACGACATTTTCCCTGCCTCACTCGTTGCCCGCCCTCCTCCCCCTATCTTCTTCTGCAGCGTGCGTCGCAAGGCGCGCCTCTTCCCCCGGATTTCCCTTCCTTCTCCTCGTCCCTCACCTCTGCTTCCCGTCCCTCCTTCCCTCGCCTCCTCCTCCTCCTCCTCCTCCTCCTCCTCCTCCACTACTTAACACACCACCCCAACCCAACCCGAAGATCCCAGACCCTCTAGACTTAGATTTCGGGTGAGAGGGTGTTCGGGCTCCACGGTGCTGTCTCGATGTCCCAGCACGCCCCCCCCCGCCAGGAAACTGGAAGGCAAACGGCGACTCTGGGTTAGGTTTGGGTGGCCTGGTGTGCAGTCACTTCTCGTTCTGTTGGCGGACGGAGTTTTCGGGCCATCCCCCCCGCCCCCTCTCCCCTCTAGGGGGCCCCGTGCGAACCCTATCCCTACCCCCCCAGAAATCGTGGGGGGCAGGGGTAGGGTTCGCATGTGGCCCCCATGCTTTCGTCCCCCCCCCCCCCTTGTCTCCCCAGGGGCAACGATAGGGAGAGAATAGGCATAAAGGGGGGGGGATGTCTCGACCCCCCAATTGCCCACTGATCGCCGATGGGGGGCCCGACAGCGCCGACCTGCCCAGGAGCGTGCGGATGTCTGATCGGGGGGCTCGTCTCCGATCTGTCGGCGCTGTGTCGCCGATTCCAAGTCGATGGTTCGCCCCTGCCAGTGTGTTTCGGTCCCTCCCTACTTCGGGGGAAGAGAACTATGCCTATGCACATGCACCGATCCTGGCAAGGCCCACCTTTGACCCAGGATCGGTGCAGATGCTGTCCTGGCCACGGCAGGAGGGCGTATGCACCGATCCTGGGCTCAGGATGGGCCTGGCCAGAATCGGTGTATGTGCATAGTTATCTATCCTCTACGATTGTTGCCCCCCCCCCCCCCCGCCCCCCCCCAGCACCACGCGCACCACCCGCCTCGGAGCGGGAGAGACCCAGACCCCCGACGCCTTGCTTCTGCTGAGCGTGGACCCCCAGGGTTCCAGATCCCACTATTCGGCGGCGGCGGCGAGCGAAGGGGGGGGAGCTCCGCGACACATCTCCCGCCGTGATTTTTGTTCCTGGCCCGAGGGCGTCTGGGCTCTTCGCTCTCCCAGCGTGGAACCTTCGCAGAGAGTCCTGGCCAGCAGCGTCCTGGCCTAGAGGGTCCTGCGATCGGGCGGGATCCATGGCCTTGGGTCGAACCTTGTGAGGAAGCGCGCGGGGGTGTGGGAGCACACAGTCAACACTCCTAAGGACGAGCGGCCGTCCAAGGCTCTCTTTGCATCCCCTCTCTTCGGCCCATCCTTTTGGCCACCATCGCTGGCCGCGCAACAGGTACTGATACCGCTCATCCCCGGACCTCTCTCCAGGGGCGCGCTCTGACCTGGCTCTCCAGGCGACTCCCGCGGCGGCCTCGCGAGGGCCTCCCGGGAGGCCCCGAGAGGGGGGGGAAACACCGGGTGGAGCGGCAGGCGCGTGGGCAACCTGCTGCTGCGGGCCGCTCGCGGGTCTGCTCCATGGGTGCCTCTTCCTCTTTCCCCGTGGGAGTGCCGCGGCGCCCCTATCGAGAGGCGGGCTCGCCGCCCGGCTCGCCGGCGGCCGGGGCGCCGTCGCCCAGCCAGGCGGGGTCCGCGCCGAGCGCCGCACGGGCGGCCGGGCTCGGCGCGGGCGCGGGCGGCGCCGCGCGGGCCGCCCGGTCTGGGGCGGGCAGGGCCGGATCGCCAGGCGGCGCGGCGGCGGAGGCCCTGCCTCCTCCTCCCCCTTCCTCCTCCTCCGCCCCCTTCCTCCTCCTCATATCCTCCCCCTTACTTCTCCTCTTCCTCCAGTTCCTCCTTCTCCTCCTCAAGTTCCTCCATGTCCATCTGGTCGTCCTCTTCTCCTCCTCCTCCTCCTCCACTTCCTCCACCTTCTCAATATCCTCCTCCACCTCTTGTGATCCAGTTCCATATTCTGCTGCTCCTCCTGCTCCTCGTCCTCCTCCTGGGCGGGGCAGAACTACCACAGAACGCTCGAGGAATGCAAGGTGCCTGCACCTGATTGAATGAAAAACCAATCGAACGAATCGACAACAAGAAATTACCTTCTGCAGTCTGATCCGAAACAATCCGTTCTGTGGCATTCCTCCTCCTCCTCCTTCTCCTCCGCCGCATTTTTGACGTTGCGCGAACATACATCAGATGATCGTTGCGTCTTGTAGCTAGAAAGAAGTGGAGAGGCCGGCTTAGGCTTCGGGGAAAACATCTTCACCTGGTGGGCGCAGCTGGCGAAGAGGGGCAAAACTAATAGAAGCGACGAGTACCTTAGAGCATGCGCCTGCCAGGCAGTACGACAACAGCAAGGCCTGGTAAACCTTTGTACACCTGCCCCCACAGATGCAACCGCCCACATCCCCTCGAGTTTTGCGAGGCGAGCCGTGTCTGAAAATCAACGTGCAGTGCCAAGAGATCAGCCGACTCTAGAGTGACGCGGGACGCAGGCGGGATGGCTGCAGTGCCTGATCGTACCTTGTCTCCTTTCTCGTCTTCCTCCTCCCTACGTGTACTCACTCCCACTCCTAGATTTGTTGGTCCAGGCGAGTAGCAGGCGACGTATGAGCAAAAGAGTAGAGCAATTCGGACTCGCGACAGATTATGACATAGAAGCATGTGAGTGGCATGTGTTATAATATGAGGCTGGCACTGTCAAGGCTGGCCTGTGCAGTGCCCTCTGGTATGGTCAAGGCCTAGGGTCGAGTGATTAAAAGGGTGCCACTCCCTTTGAGTCAGCGGGTCCCGAAAGGGAGGAGGGGGCGTGCGAAGGAGGAGGAGGATCGTAAGGAGAAGGAGTGTAATGACTGTACTCACAGCTGAAACTGTAACATGTTCAGGACATAATAAGATTGCAAGCATAGCGGCTATTCTCTGGCTGCTACCCAGGGTTGTTCGGCTCACCCCAGGTATCCTTGGCCTCGGGACCCACGTGCTTTATGGACATGTTGTTTGGGTTTAGCACGAGCCCGTGTAGCAGTAGGCTGCCGCAGTTAAGCTTGGCTTGCCTGTAGTAGTTAGTGGGGGCCTCACCCTGTATTCAGGGGGTCCTGGAATTTGAGTGCGCGCAACTGCTGGACGTAACTATTGCCATCCGATCAAGTTAGAGGCTTGCTGAGCAGAAATGACAGGTACCTGGCGTGACTGAGTGAAATAAGCAGAACTGAGAAAAGCTAAGATGGTAGGTAACGAGACACGAAGCATGCAACGGGTGAGTGCACACGGAGTGAGACAGATGTGAAATTGGCAACGCTATAACATTGACGCGGCCATATTTCTGCGCTCATGTGTTAGGGGTCTTCAGGCTTGCGGGCGTGGTGGCCCGCACGTTTGTTCGATCTGTGAGCGGGCAAACAGAGTGGTATGCGCGAGCGATATTCCAAGGGTGCTCTTTGCAGCATTCCCCTTCGGCCCATCCTCGCCCTGGGCCATAACAGGCCATTGGCCTCTCACTTCGGCTTCAAATTTGGCGTCCGAGGGCCCTGCATCCTTACCGCGCGCTCTTATCATCCCGTCGCACAGTGCTCCCGTGTTGCAAAGTCGGCCGTGCTACGGTCGACCAACATTCGTTCTCGCCCCTCCGTGCGCTGCGGACGACCCAACCTCGCTCACCCTTCCGCGTCTACTCCGTGGACGTTCGAACTCCTCCAGCGGTGCCTGCATCGAAGAGTGTGCGATCCTGCGCCGTGACAGACACGCCCACGTGCCGTGGGTTGGGCCGATGCCGCCATGGGGGCTCTTGCGGAGACTAGCGGACGTAAACCAGCGGCAGATCCGATGACAAAAAAGAACTCGTCCCCATACATAGACGAAGGACAAACGCCATAATCATGTACTTTTGGCGCTCCGCGCGGATTTCTTGGATCCGCGTTGGGCCCCTCTGGCGCTGCCTCCGGCGCCGCCCCTGGCACGCTCCGCGCGCCGGGGAGGAGAGTCTGGGGCGGATCCAAGAAATCTGCGCGGACCTCCAAAAGTTTATGTCTATGTAATTTTTCCTTTTGCTAATGCAAGAGATGGGTGACATGTTGTTTGGAGTTTGGGTCCCCGGAACCCGCCGCACGGACTTGATTTCGTATCGGGACCCCGCGCACATATTTGGTCTGCGCCACCGTCGAAGTGCTCAGGGGTGCGTCAGTTGGCATCCGGCGAGCGCAAGTCCGAGTTCACGTTCTGGCGCATGGCGGGACCTGGCTCCCGCATCCCCCTCGTTTCTGTAAGCGTCTCTGGCTTGGCCTGCATGCCAGCTCCCAACCTTCCCTCCCGCCTGCCGAGATGCTCTCCCCTCGCACGGCACTGGCCGCTCAAGGCCGAGGGTGGCGCCGGGACGCGGGGGTGGTCCGGATGGTCCAGGGAGGAGATTGGCTTCACGAAAGCAGTGACCTTTCGCCAGAGTGACCTTTTCTAGGCCTCGTAGATGGGATCGGAGCAGATGGGGTCGGAGGATCGCGCCGCATCGCCGATGCATCGCCGACGCGGCTCGATGTGGGGCCCGCTTTACTTCACGTCGACGTCGCCGATGCATCGCCGACGTCGACGATGCATCGCCGTTGCATCGTCGATACATCGCCGATGCATCGACAATGCATCGCCGATGTATCGGCGATGCGGCGCGATCCTCCGTCCCCATCTACTCGGACCCACTCTAGGAGGCCTCCTACCTTTGATGCGGGCACACGGGGGTCCGATCGATCGCAGCGGCTTCCGCGCTCGGGTTGGCCCCCCGCCCCCCCGCGCTCCACCCCCACGCCGCGCACCAAAGGTCACTCTTGCCTAGGGCCGCTCTTGTTCGAAGAACGAACAAAGGCATAAACACAGACTTTCGACGGTCGGCCCAGATTTCTTGGTTCTGCGCTGGAGCCCGCTGGTGGCGCCTTCGGCGCCGCCCCTGGCGCGCTCCGCGCGCCAGGGAGGGGGCCCAGCGCAGATCCCAGCAATCCACTCGGACCGTCGGAAGTCTACGTTTATGCCGGCTCTTGCTTCGCTCCTCCAATTGCGTGCCGCCGAGGAGATGGAGTCGTTGCCTGCCTGGCAGCTGGCGAAGTGGCTGTGATGGGCCAGTTTTCCACCACCACCACCACCACCACCAGAAGTTGGAGGGGGGAAAGGAGGTGGAGGAGGAGAAGGAGCAGGAGCAGGAGCAGGAGCAGGAGCAGGAGCAGGAACACGAGGAGGAGGAGGAGGAGGAGGAGGAGGAGGAGGAGGAGGAGGAGGAGGAAGAGGAGGACCCCCTCCCTCTCCTGCTCATGGTGGTGGCGGTGGACAACGAGCCCACCAGGCTGGAGGACCAGGGCGTCGACGTCTCCCCCGCGTGCGACGGCGCCCGGGTGTTGGCCGCGCTCCGCCAGAGGGTCGAGGTTTGCGGACGACGATCAATGGAGAGGAAGCGTGTTGACATTTTTTCGGCAAAACAAGGAAGCATATTGTCAAACGTTTGGCACAGAAAGGAAGCATGTTGACACATACTCTCCAGATGTCTAGGAACTGTTTACACACTTGTCTTTTACTTGCAGAGGCATGCCTGAAGCATGTTCAGGACCGTCTCACACATTGGTTAACACATGTTTGATCCGATGATCGGACCGTTAGGGTGCCCATTTGCCATGGCATCCACAAGTCGAGGTCCAGCGGCCTCCGGACCTCGCGTCCGCCGAGGGGCTGGCGGGCCTGCGCGACTGGCCGCTGGCGCACCAGCTGCGGTGGCTCGATCACCTCGGCGGGGTGGACGAGGCCCTGTGCAGCAGGGGCAGGCTGGTGCAGCTCGTGCTCGAGCGCGAGAGGGACCTCCGGGGAGGAGGAGAGACGCGGAGGACAAGGAGGAGGAGGAGGAGGAATAGGAGGAGGAGGAGGAGGAGGAGGAGAGGAGGAGGAGGAGGAGGAGGAGGAGAGGAGGAGGAGGAGGAGGAGGAGGAGAAGAGGGGGAGGATTGAGAGGAGGAGGAGGAGGAGGAGGAGGAGAAGGAGGTCTCTCGCCACCACGTCTGGGCTCTCCTCGAGAGCCTGGCCCGAGCGTAGCCCAGGGCGGGTCTGTGGAGTGTGGCTGCGTACTCCCCCAGGACCCGCCCGCTCCCGCGGCCGCGCCCGAGAGCCCCACCATCTTCGCGCAGGCGTCTGTAAAGGAAATCTGGCCAGATACAGTCGGAGCGAGGTACACGATCGAGTTCTGTTCAGGGAGGGTGCCCTCGTATTCTTCGTGTTTGCTGGATGATGTTGTGCATCCTGGGGAGGGCGCCCCATGGGTGTTCTGTGTGATTGGCCGGCGGAGGGTCTCGTCTTCTCGATGGATGTTGTTCTGTCCCAGGTCCGACTATACATGAGCTTTCGGAGGTCCGCGCTGGTCTCTTGCATCGACGTTGGACCCCCCCCGTTGGCGCGCGGAGCGCGCCAGGAGGTGCCCTGGGGTGTGCCGCTGGGACCGCCCAGCGCCGACCCAAGACCTCCACCCAAGACCTCCGAAAGTTTGTATGCCTGCAGGTTTTTCTTCCCCTGAGGTAGCGGAGAGCATGCCGATCGTGAGGCAGGTGGTCGGGCGGGGCTGGGACAAGTCAGAGGAGGAAAAGGTAACCATGCCTCTTCCCCTCCCCGGTTTCCCCTTTCGGGCCTGGTTGGAAGCCTTCGTCGCCTTTGCTGGATTCGCCTTGAAATCTTATTCAGAACGTACCCCGTGGTCCCAGCTCTAATCGTGACATCAACGGAGTCCCAACCCAAACCTTGACATCAATGGGCGCAAAGTTTATGGAGCGCCAGATATGCCGAGCCAAAACCTCACAATCGTTGGCAACTCATGAAGGATCACCGCAAGCATCCACAATCATTCGTTTCATGGTTAGCCTCCCGAGGAGCGTGAGTCTTGAGTTGAAAAATGCATCCTCCCTCATCGCCCCTGTCTTTTTCCATTGTTGGCGTTTGGCCGGTGCTCCCTTCTTCGCCTTCTTCGTCCCCCCTCCCTCTTTGACAATCCAGATGTGTTGATTAATATCAACGCCATGCGCAGGCAACATTCCACATCGTTCTTTTAGGCATCAGGAAGCCAACGTGCTTCTAGTGCTCCGGCGCCACCGCCGTGCTCGTTCCAGGGCCGTCCTCTGGGACGATTGTCGGCGTCCTGTCCTGTCCTGTCCTGTCCACCCCGTGAGAGGTCCAGGGAATATAGCGGTATCGGTACCTTTTCGTTTCCCCAACAAGGAGAGGTTCCAGAGCGTCCCAGAGCGCTCTCGAAGCGTGCTGGCACGCTCTGAGCATGTTCCTCGTAGGTCGCTTCCTGACGGCCCCGAGGCCCAGGAAGGGCCCCCGCAGGCCAAGCATCGCGGAAGCCTGTCGCCGCGACCTCTCCGCAGCGCGAGGGGGTCTGGGCTGGCCCCGGCTCCGTCGCAGGTGGCGGCCACGCTGCTGAGCATCCTGTCCTCCGCGGAGACACAGCAGGCGGCCCCGCCCGCCGCCCGGCCTCCGCGGCCCGCGGGGCACGGCGGGCTCGCGTCGTGTCGGCGCGTCGGCTGCCCCAGCCCGCAGGCCCCCCTCGAGTCACGAGCAGAACCACGACCCGAAGGAGCAGAAACGCCATCAACAGAAACCCTCGGCGCTCCGCGCGGATTGCTTGGATCTGCGCTGGGCCCCCCCCCCAGCGGAGCCTCCGGCGCCGCCCGTCCAAGAAAACCGCGCGGACTTCCAACAGTTTGTGGTCATGCAGATGTGTTTGTTGCTTGTTTCTTGGTGTTGTTTGTTTGTTCCGTCCTCTTCTTTGTTCTTCTACTCGAGTCGCGGAAAAATCACGGAGGGGGGGTCCTCGCTGGTTGTCTTCGGCCCCCGAGAGGGCACGACGCGACACTCTCAGGGCGTCGGGGGTCCTGCGGCGCGGGCGTTCCGGGTCGAGCGCCGCCAGGGGCCCCGAACCGGGGCAACACGCAAGGACCTGGCGGACGGTCGAAGAGCCGCCGATCGATCAGTGCCTGGCGGTCCGCGCGGCGCCAGCAGCCAGCGCCGAAGTCGCCACGAACACTTGCCGTCGGCCGACGACCGCCGGCCACGGCACGGCGGGAGGCCCAGAGCTCGAAGAGCGCTGGTGCCGCCGCGCAGGAAGCGGATCCCGGGGGAGCGGGTCCCGGCTCTCTGTCCCGTCATGGGCTTCCCGGGGCCCTCGGCTGGGGGAACGAGGAATGACAGGAGCAGAAAAAATCTCGAGGGGCCGCGCGGGGTTCTCGGATCGGCTTTGGGGCCCCCTCCCTGGCGCGCGGAGCGCGCCAGGGGCGGCGCCGGAGGCGCCAGGGAGGGGGATCCAGCGCCGATCCGAGAAATTCGCGCGGACCTGGGAGTTTTCATGTTTATGTCAGTGTTCGGGACGAACATCTCTGGACGAACATCTAGTCCTGGGACGAACACCTAGCCGAACGAACATCTAGTCCTGGGGGACGAACATCTAGTCCTGAAGTCCAGGAAACAGCTCGGGACGAACATCTGGTCCTGGGGGAGTGCCCTGGGGTCCAGGACCCGCTTCCCTCTCGGGTCGTCTGGAGCTGGGGAAGTGGTGCGGCACACAGGGTGTGGTGCCAATCGCGGACATGAGATGCTATCCACGGTAAATATGATTGCCAGATTCAGCATTGGCACCACACCACTTTAGGCCACACCCTTTTCCGACCTCCAGAGTTTGTTTAATTTCAGTGAGGCCGTCAGCCCGATGTGATCGCCGTGGTGCGGGCTGCGGCTGTTCATTGGCCTCGTCCCCTGGCGCCTTTGGGGGGAGACTCAGGAGGGTTTGCGGAGGTTTCTTGCGGCCACCCAGGGCGGAGGTTTCTCCAAGTCCTGTCGCGCCTCCGTCTTCGTGGTCATGCTTGGGCCGTCTTGGTGGCCTCTTGCGTCCCTTGCTGGGAGCCTCGGGGGCCATCTACCTTGGCGACGATACTTGGGGCCTCTTGTACCGTCTTGTACGCCTTGAGGGCAGAGCATGTGAGCCTGTTTGAAGCCTCACGAAACAGTGCGCTATTGACATAGCTTTGAGGCTTGCTGCCCTTTGCTTTCCCGGTCAGGCTGTGTGGGTGCAGGACCCGTGATCAGAGGCGTGGCCCAAGGTTCTTCGCGGTTCCTCGCCCCTCGCCCCCCTGGCATTGCCCGGGGTTCGTCCAAGGGGCACATCAACGTTGTTGGCCAAGTAATGCGAAGCAATGTCAGGCAATGCTAGGAAATCTCCAGCAACAGCGATTGATGTAACGTCGTACTAAGAAAAGCCGACCAATCAATTCCAAACAGTGTCAAGCAACACCACGCATTACACAGGCACTGAAGCAATGCCAAGCACTGCAAAGCCAAAACCAAACAATGCCAAGCAATGCAAAGCAATGCAAAGCACTGCGAAGCAAAGCAATGCCAATGGAAAGACAATGCCAATCAATGCCGAGTAATGCACCATAACGCAAAACAATACCAAGCAAAGTAAAGAAATGCCAAGATATCCAAAGCAATGTGTTACATTGCGTTGCGTCTCATCGCATTGCTTTGAACGGCTCAGAACTGCTGTGAGTTTCTTCGGATGCAAGAAGGCCCCCACTTTGAGTCGCGCTGGCTTTCGGGAACCTCTGAGAGCTCTGCGAGCCTGAGAACCGTCTTGAACCAGTATTGAATCCGTTTCCGAGCCCTGTGAGACCACATTCGGGACGACATTATGTAACGTCTTATCTCACATTGGTTTTGACGATGAAGTGTGTCCTTTGCCGGGGGATTCAGGGCCATCACGGGAAGAGGCTGTCCGACTCAACACGTCATTTTGGACGTGCGCCAGTTCAAGCAGCGGGAATGTGGGTTGGAATGTTGAGGCATTTTAGGATGGTTAGCCCGTTCGGGGTCTCTTGTGACATTATTGGGGCCTGTTGTGGGTCTTTGGGGGGGCCTCTGGGGGCCTCCATGGAGCTTGCTCATGCTCCTCGAGGTCGACCCTTCCAGAGGGTGTCGGGGAGAGGCAGACACCTCCAGCGTTGGTACACAGCGCCCTCCGCTCAGCACCAACGACACCGACCCGTGTTCCTGAACTTCGAGCGCCACCCACGCCCGATCACACACTTCGGCTTTTCTGCAGGGGTTCTGAGAAAGGCAGGATTGCATGTCGCGCGTTCGCCCATGGCGACAGCAGCCAAAGGTAAAAATAGGCATCCGCGAACCTCTTGTGGGTGCCGGAACGGTAGGGCTCGGGGCATTCGCCTTCGGCGGCTTCAGGCGATGGCCCGCGAGCGAGACAAGCACGGGTGGGTCCCGAATGGCGTGATCGTCAAGGCCTTCCAGAGGCCCGCGCAGGGCTGCGAGGGCGACGCCAACGGCTCGCCCATGCTCGACGTTGCGGAGGGTGATGGAGGAACAAGCAGTGGCATAGACAACTTTTCGGCGGTCCGCGCGGACCTCTGAAACACAGGCATCCAGCCGTTCCGTTTTTTTTATGCGTGGCCCCCTTAGGTCTGGACCACTGCCTCAGGGCTGGTTTGGCTTCCTGGCTTGTTTTTTATGGTCCCGAGGCTTGGCGGGGGCCCCCAGAGGCTGAAAATGACAAAACCAAAACTTTTGGGAAGCTTCTGTCAATGCCATTTTTTGATTCGTCGAGGTGACCACGTGGACGTGATGTTCGACGAGGCTAGCGCCTGCCGTGGAGGGGAGGAGGGAGGAGCAGGAGGAGCAGGAGGGAGGAGGGAGGAGGGAGGGGAGGGAGGAGGGGGAGGAGGACGAGGAGGAGGAGGACGAGGAGAGACGAGGGAGGAGGAGAAGGAGGAGGGAGGAGAGGAGGAGGAGGAGGAGGAGGAGGAGGATGGACGAGGCTGGCGACTGGGCCTGGTGCGCCCTGCGCGAGGGCACCTGCCGTGGCTGGGTGCCGCGCGGCTGCGTCGCGGAGGTTGCCCAGGCGCTCGAGGACGGGCTGGCCGGGAATGGCCAGGGAGGAGGAGGAGGGCCGGGCACCGAGGGACCCTGAGATCCTGGCGATGCAGGAGGAGGAGGAAGAGGAGCAGGAGGAGGAGGAGGAGGAGGGCGAGGAGGAGGAGGAGGAGGAGGGCGAGGAGGAGGAGGAGGAGGAGGAGGAGGAGGAGGAGGGACCCTGAGATCCCAGCGATACGATTCTTACGCAAAGCGCGTTTTCGCTTTGTTCTTCCAGACAGGATCGCCTCGCAAAACATATCAGGACGGGGAATTGTTGTCCAATGTCGGCCTCGAGAGGCCCTCGCCGGGCCTCGGGACCGTCAAAAAACGACTCAGGATGAAACATCGGTCCTGGGGAAAGTGTAGGGACTTCCAGGGACCCCGTATTGAAAATATCAGGACGTCGCATGTCTGGGTTCTTGACGTCTGAGCTCCCTCACCCTCCTCTCTTCGTGGGGCCGCCCTCGTCTTAGCCATTCCCTCTGGCGCGCCGGTCATTTCACCGTTCGGTTGCCCCGAATAGCCACGCACTGGAGCGGACTACCTCTGCCTCGCCGCCGATTGAAGAACAAATTCTAGACGCTTGCGTAACCCCACCAGCCCATCCAGAAACGATGCCCAGAGGAAGTGCATCGATCAGGGAAGTGAGCACATAGAGGAAAGGTCCCGCAGTTGAGGCCTCTGAGAGCGTCTTGGGGGCCTCTTGGCGGTCCCGGACGCCTCTTAGAGCGTCTTGGGTGCCTCGGAGAGATCTTTGGGGCCACTTGGAGGCCTCTGGGGGCCCCTTGGGGGCCCTGTTGAAGCGCTCTTGGGAGCCTTGGGAGCGCTCTTGGATCCCTCTTGGGCCATCTTGGAGTCAGCGTGAAGCCTCGGATGGCCATTGGAAGCGAAAAGGCGACGAGAAAGCCCAACACATTGACTTCCCTTTTGTTTGGGAAGGATTTGGGCCTCTTCGGGGCCTCCTGGGGGAGCTCTTTGGCCACTTGGAGCCGTCTTGAAGCGGTCTTGGGGCCTCTTGGAGCATCGTGGGAGCCATCTTGAGGCATCTCGGGATATCTTGCGCCATCTTGGAGGTCATCTTGGGCTCTCCCAGGCGCTCTTGGAGTCATCTGAAGCCGTGCCTCCCCCCCAGGAGGCCCAAATGTGGCCAAAACGATCGTAACATCAATGATTTTGGCAGTCTCGCCGAGGCCTCTTGGAGCGTCTTGGTGCCTCTGGGGGGCCTCTTGTGGCCTCTTGGGGGTCTCTTGGGAGCCTCTTGGGGACATCCTGGGAGCCTCTTGGGGGCTTCTTGGGGCCACATGGGGCCATCTTGGGGTCATCTCGGGGCGTCTTGGGGCCTCCTGGGCGCCTCTTTGGGCCATCTTGGATGAGATCGATCACAGGAGGGGGGGGGGCTAAATTAGCCCCCCCCCCCCCCCCTCAGGAGGCCAACATGGGGCCAAAACCATAGTAAAACCAATGATTTTGACTTTCTCGCTGAGGCCGTTTTGGACGCTCCAACGCGTCGGGAATCCCTCGTCGAGGTCCAGGGGAGGGAGTAGGGGGAGGGGTCAAGACCCCCTCCCCGCCCGCAAGCCGTCTCGCTCACTCCCACCCGCCCTCCAATCACATACGTAGCACCCGAGCCTGGCCCGAGCCTCAGCATATTCAGGAGTCGTCTTTGGATGGGCAGCTACTGGGGGCGCATCCGCCGCCGCCTCCGCCGCCGCCCCCGCCGCCCTGCCGCCGCCGCCGCCCGCGCGCCCGCCGCCGGCCCCCGCCGTTTCGCTGCTCGCCGCCGCCGCCGCCGCGCGGCCGCCCCCGCCTCCCCCGCCGCCGCTGCCGCCGGCCGCCGCCCCCGCTTGCAGAATCGCCGGCCGCCGCAGCCGCTGCCGCGCTACCGCCGTCGCCGCCGCCGCCGCCCCCGCCGCCGCCGCCGCCGCCGCCACCGCCGCAGCCGCCGCAGCCGTTGCCTCCGCCGCAGCCGCCGCAGCGGCCGCCGCCGCCGCCGCCGCCAAGTGTATTCTGCATTGTTTTGTGATAGGGATGGTGGGGGGAGGCCGCATCGGGTTGGCTGCGCATGCTCTGAACTTGGAGGCAGAATGTGTTTTGCATTTGTTTAAGCTAGGTGCGCTCGCGTCATATCTGACGTCCTACCCCTCCCTCCCATCCCTTACCATGGCGCTGATTTTCTCTATCCGCGGACGCGTGTCGTAGCGGACCTGTGGCTCCGCGCGCGCGTGCGTAGTGGGTGGTGGTGCGCGTGCGTGCGTGCGTGCGTGTGTGCGTGGTTGTGGTTGGTGCTGGTGGTGGTGGTGGTGGTGTGGTGGTGGTGGTGTTGGTACTGGTGCTGGTGCTGGTGGTGGTTGTGGTGGTGGTGGTGGTGGTGGTGGTGGTGGTGGTGGCGGTGCGGCGCGGTGGTGGCGGGCGGATGGGCGCGCGAGAAAAAGGCCCGCGCTGGGGCGAGAACGCCATCCTGAACGACGGAGGCCAAACACCGATCCGAAAATTAGGCCCACGCTGCAACGGGAGCACGATTCGGAACGATTCGGGAACAGAAATGAGGCCGGCGCCTCAACGAGAGCAGCATTTTGGGAAAAAATGACGCCGGCGCCTCAGCGAGAGTCGTTTCCCGGGATTTCCCGGGAATCCTGTGTGAAAAAAAAGTACGCGGAGGGTGCGCGGCCATCACCCGGACGCCATCAGGGGAAGAGGGAAAGTATTTTCATATTGAGTAATTGTATAAATGGGAAACAGTGATAAAGCCCTCCCCGAGGAAACTCCGTGCACCACCTACGCCCAGAGGGCTGGTGGGATTCGTTCCGTTTGGGGCCCCGGGACCCACACAGATCGATCTGGCTCGAAAACTGACGCAGAATGCTGGGATCCAGGGCTCCGGTCGTGATGTTATTGGATGTTGTATCACTTGTTCGCCACGTCGAATATCAGGGACAGCAGGGGGCCCATATCTCCAACAAAGGAAACGGTTTCGTAACGTCCCAGGCTTCTGGCGTCTCGAACAAAGCGGGGAGGGTTCTCATGGGTTTCGGTTTTTTCGGGGCCCTTCCCGGGCCTCGGGGCCGTCCAGAAGCAGCTCGGGATGAAACGCCAGTCCCGGGGAAGTGGTCGAGAGGTCGTGGGCCGCGTTTCGATCAAGTCGAGACGCCCGATGTCTGGGGGCCCAGGTCTCCGACGGTGTGCTGGTTTTGTGGTGCGGGGCGCTTCTCCTCGACCTCGGCCTCTCAGGGTTGGAGTCCCTATCCAGGGAGGATGGGGTCGGAGGGTCGCGCAGCATCGCCGATGCATCGGCGCCGGGGCCTGACGTGGTGCCCGAACTCCCGATTTTCTCCACGCTGGCGGCGCCGATACATCGCCGACGCCGCCGCTCTGTCGCCGATGCATCGGCGATGCGGCACGAATGTCAGCGCCAATCAGCGAATCAGCGGCGGGCAAAAAATCATCCAGGTGGCCGACACGGTTGCCGTCCGCCGGGATGTTTTGGCCGGACCTCGGGGTCCACCTCGCAGGCACGGTGAGCTTGCCATTGGTCTGGCGACTGGGTCGGCGTCCTCCTGGCTGTGGGTGGGGGGCGATTTGGACCCACTTTGGGAGGCATCCTCTGGGGCCCGCCGTGGCGCCTGGGGCCATCCGCCGAGCAGCCGAGGGCGAGAGGTAGGGCCCCAAGCGGCCAAGGGGGGGTCGGGACCTCCCGCGGCCCGCGGGCAGAGCAGAGCAGAGCCGTCGGGTGCTCCGGGGGCGGGAGCGACGAGGAGAAAGAGGAGGAATAGGAGGAGGAGGAAGAGGAGGAGGAAGAGGAGGAGGAAAGACGGAGGAGGAGGAGGAGGAGGAGGAGGAGGAGGAGGAGGAAAAGAGGAGCGGACAGGAGGATAATGGCGGAGGAGGAGGACTGAGTTGGTTGAAGAGGAGGATGAGGAAGGAAGTGGTGAGGAGGAGGGGGCGGACGGAGGGGACAGGAAGAAGGGGAGAAGGGATGAGGAGTATAAGGAGGAGGAGGTGGAGGAGGAGGAGGGGGGGAAGGGCGCGGGGTATGATGAGGTGAAGAGAAGGAGGAGGGGGGAGCATGCGGAGGAGGGAGGAGGAGGATGAGGCGGAGGAGGAAGGAGAGGAGGAGGCGGAAGGTGGAGGAGGAGGAGGAGTGAGGAGCAGGAGGAGGAGGAGGAATACTAATACCTAATAATACTACTACGATCAGGGGAAGTAGGAGGAGGAAGGAGAGGAGGATGAAGGAGAGGAGGAGGAGAGGAGGAGAGAGGAGAGGAGTAGGAGGATGAGATGAGGATGGGGGAGGAGGAGGGAGGGAATGGGGGAGGAGGAGAGAGGGCAGGAGGAGGAAAAAGAAAAGGAGGCGGAGACGGAGGGAGGAGGAGGAGGAGGCAGGAAAATGATGATGATGTGATGAGGAGAGGAGGAGGAAAGACGAGGAGGAGGAGGAGGAGAAGGAGGAGGACAAGAGTGTGTGGATGAGGAGGATGAGGAGGAGGCGGGAGAGGGGGAGGGGGAGGAGGAGGAGGAGGAGGAGGAGGAGGAGGAGGAGGAGGAGGAGGAGGAGGCGGAGGAGGAGAATGATGAGGAGGAGGAGGAGGAAGAGGACGAAGACGTAAAATAATCATAAGAAGACGTATAATAATAATCAGTACCATAAACACATTATGAAGAAGAAGACAAAGACGAATCCGAATAACACTACCAATAATACTGATGATGCTACTAATTTTGTTATTACTAATACGAAGAATAATAATATTAATAATGGTATTACTAATAAGAATAATAATATTATTCATACGAATACTAGTACTAATATTATTAAGGATAACAGTAATAATAGTAATAATAATACTAATACTAATAATACTAATAAAATTAATACAGATGATAAAACATATTAATGATAATACTAATACTAATACTGATAATAATAATACTGATAATACAAATACGAATCGTACTACTGCTAATAACAAATAGTAATACTAAGGGCCGGAGGAGGAGGAG